ATTTCTAAATAAATGCGACTTATACTCCGGAGTGACTTATAGTCCGGAAAATACGGTACATGTATATATAATTACCATACACTGTGTTCCATTCTACAAGGTCCTGTCATCATCAACATCTCTCATGTTAACAGTTGATTATTAGTAGTTTATGAGAGCAGTGTATGTGTATATAACACCTACAATTTTAAATGATCCATCTTTCTGCGACTCACTGAAGCTGCTGAGGACACTTGCTTATTATTTGAACTAATAAGAAGCTCCTCATTGAGGCGAGTAAAATAGCAGAAGGCCTACATTTTCATCATTATTATTCTTGGATACAGACTCCATGATTCACTTCTAATAAGTCTGGCACAGCCCAGGAACAGCCGCACACATTCTTACACACTTGCTCTCACACACACACACACACACACACACACACCATTGGAGCAGGGAGGGACATCCTCTTCAGACAAACTCATGAGACTGAGAGTGACAGATGGGATGATTTAATGGTTTTCACTCTTGATTGATTCGTTGTCAGAGGCATGAGCCATTCTTTGTGTTGATTTGGTGCCACACATTATTCAAATAATTACTGTGTGGTCTAGAATCCGAGAGGAATACCATCTCCTGGCAAATTCCTAGAATGTGTAATAAAAAAAGGTATACATACACAAAAAAATGTAAAACATAGATCTTTTAAGCCTGCGCAATTCTAAGTCAATAAAAATCTCACAATGGGATGCTGACACCATCTGGTCAGTTTGAAAGTTGGTGTTCACTACAGAAACAGAAACACACACACACACACACACACACCCCCTGACACAGGCCGACAGACACATCAGAAAAGTGAAGGCCTGGAATGCCACAGTCGCCTCAGCTGTCACAAGAGATAATAAGACTTGTCTGCTGTCCCTCTCTTTTCCACTGCACACACTCCTTACACGGAAAAGGACATCTGATGGCCCAGGAAAGCCGATCACAGTCCTCATGTAAAGTTGTTACAGAGGTCTGACTAGCAGTAACTGTATCTACTACTTTGACATATCAAACACACCACCCAGCCTCTTTTCTTACCTTTTAATATCACAACATTTTATTGCAGTAAAAGAACGGTTAACCTTTGATAAACCAGTACAATAAATGGAGCCAAGAAATGTTCCTGCTTGTAATTTTTATCATTATTTTATCTTTTAGGCTTCTAGGAATTTTCTGGAAGTGTGCCAGAATAGGTAAGTGTATGATTCTTACATGAAGTTGTGTTTTTTTTCCTCTTGCAATATCAATGAAATGTTGCTAAACAGGGCCGCCTTCAACTTTACATTATTTATTTTATCCAGGTGAGCGGAAGAGTCCCTGGGTGGCTTGCTGCTGTATCATCATGGCTTTTAGTATACTGTTTGTACAGTAGCAGTCCAAAGAAAACCACAAATGGAAACATTGGGGGGGGGACAGCTGCAAGGCATGGACAGTACGATCCTAGAAGCACAACAGGACCTCCAGTGGTTGTCACTTAGATAATGTAAAAACGGAGACCCGTCACCACTCATCGTAGCCACGGAGAGAGAAAATGTGTCTGTGTAGGGGGAGGGGGGGGAGCTGATAGCCCCAGAGTGTGTCTAGATCCCTCCACGGACTTCCAGGTCTGTCCTTGTGTTTGCTCATGTGGGATGTTTACTACGGATGTATGTGTGTGGGGGGCCAATGCTTTCTGTTATCTGCCATCTAGTTAAAAGGAAATAGTTCACATTCTGGCATCATTTGTGGGATCAACTGATATATTGTCTGTCCAGACATTTCAAACAGACTTTCTTCTCCCTTTGTGTTTATCACAATTTCATTGACCTGTTTGAAATTCTCCACAAAAAGGACCTTGATAAATTACATAACTGTGATGCGACTCACACGGAGGCTTACATTTGTAAAGAGTTATATTAAGGTGTGGCTTTGACTAATCTAAGCACCTTCTCTGTAACCTGTGCCCTGTTTGTTGTATCTAGAAATGGTGATTAGATTCCACAGCAAACTAAATGATAGTATAGCTCTTCAGGTGTCTAATTGTCCTACATATTTGCCTCAAAAAGCCACTGATGTTTTTAAAGTCAGTCAATTTGCCGCTATTTATTAAAGAACCTTTTTGGAAATCTGGTCTGACAAGGCTAATTTTTTTTTTTGTCATTTAAACTCAAGCATTGGTGTTTGCTGTTGATGCCTGTTTATGTCTGTTGTGATAATGCCACACTGTAAGATGAAGTGTCATTAATAATGACTTCAAACATGCAAAATACACCATGACTATCTATAAACCTCTTGTCAATCTCTCTCTTTAAGGACTTGATCACACGTAAAGTGCATGTAACATTGCAGCAACGGCAGAGTCAGACAAATTGTTTCTTGATTAGTTTAAGACCTTAAAGTTCCCCTCCACTCAAAAATGTGTTTTTTGTCTTATTGCTGCAGTTGAATGTTTTAACTTCAGTGTGC